TAATTAACTATTAGATATACTATTTCAAATATTTTTAGAGCTATTTTATTCTATTTATATTAATTTAATACTTTTAAAACTTAACAAATGTATTAATATGAATATATAAACAGTATCCTAAAAGCAGAATGCCAAAAAGATTAAGTGATATCTCAGACTACGTGTTTAACTGGAACTTGAGTCAAATGTGAAAGTTAGGTGTCTTAACACTCCAGTTACCTCTGCTCCTAGGTGGTATAGTCAGTGAATACCACAAAACTCTTCTGCTTTGAAAAATCTAGAAATTATGTATAAATACTTGAATAATAGGTAAAGAAGTGTTTAATAGTCATAAGATTCTCTATGGGTTAGGTATTATTCTTCAGCAAACTATCCTAAAACATTGTGGTTTAAAATTACAGCAGATTATTTTTTCTTCCAATCCATTTGGCTGGAGAGTTCTTTTGCTGGTCTCCTCTGGGTTCCCTGGTGTCTAGCCTCTTCTGAACCTGAGATTTACTTACCTGGTTGGATGTCTAAGCTATCCCCACTCAGGTTGGCAGTTGCTCTGCTAGCTGTCAGCTGGGTCTGGGTTTTACTCCCTGTGATCTTACAGTGTTCTTCCTCTCAAGGAGATCCCACAGTAGTGCTCCAAGAGGGCCAAGGTGATGTTGCTTCCAGGCACAGGGTTTACAAGTTGCAAAAATGTCAGTTCTGCCACATTCTTTTGGTCAAAGCAAATCACTGGCCAGACTAGATTCAAAGGGCTGGAAAATAGATTCTACCACTGAATGGGAGGAGCATCAAATTAGTTGTGACAACATTTAGTCTAGTAAAGGTTACTGGAAAGCCCAGCGTTTATTTTAAGTGATTGTATTAAGCCATTAAATTATTAATTACACAAACACATTTACATATTACGAGGATAATTCATGTTTCCCATAAATATACTCTTTGAATATACTCTTTGCAATTATTTGATTATATTTCTCTATGGCCTGGCATGATACATAAAAATTTCAGTATTACCATGTTATTTCTATTGGAAAATATAAAGCATTCAAAAATATAAAACGTTTAATTATTGTTCAGTGTAATTTTATTACTCTTCTTGAGAATGACATTTACTCTGCTTTTGTTCAAGATGGAAAGTTATATTGGAATTTGTGTCTATTTTGATCTAGAATGCAACTAATGAACTCACTAAACAGACATCAAATGTGAAGTCTCTGAAATTTGAACTCCTAGCAAAAAAAGAATACATAAAGGAAATGCATGAAAAGTATGTTTTTCCTATTTCTTGCGCAGGGGCCATGCTAATCTTCTCTGTATGGTTCCAATTTTAGTATA